TGACGTCCACTTTCCAACTGTTACTTTTGGAGCCAAAAATGCAACAGATAGTGAAAGGCATTTGGCCCAAATGATTTCATGGACCCATGAGGGTAGAATTGTCATTTTAATTATCAAACAACACTTTAGTCTATCAAACCAAAGTCAAAAGGCTATTAATGTCTTTTTACGTGTAAAAAGAGGTATAATATATCTTAAAAGTACCTATTTTTTTTTTTATAAAATAATTTATTTATATATAAATATATATGAAAACTAATTTTATAAAAAATACACAGAGGTCTTTAAATTTATTCGGTGATCAGTTTAATCTAATCAAAATAAATTCAATAGCACCCATGCATTATGGAGAATATATTCCTAAACTATTAATTCACTAAAGTACCGATCATTAGACCCGAAAGTCCCACCAAATAAATTAAAGTAATTACTAATCAATACAATAGTTTAAAATTTTCAAACAATTAAAAGTTATTTGCCATGATGGTAATATGGAGTAATTGTATATTATGACTCTCACAATTGATTCAGCCTATCATATATCCGGTCAATCTCTTTATTGATAAAAAAATCTCATTTTTATCGTCCACTGTCAACTATTAATGATAATATGCGCAATTTATATTAAAATACCGAATTAAATCAATACTATATGACTTCTTCATAAATTTTAAATTAATAAACAAATAAAATATATTTAAAATATATTAAATTTACTACGAAAAGATATACGGATCATCAATTACAATAGCAAATTAACGTTCATCTCATCTTTTTTTTCACGCCATGTGTATTGGACATAGCGGGTCATAGACTAAAATACCATCGTATCACATTAGGTACCATTTAATTAAAGATTGGATCTTTGTAGGTAAAATTTGATTCATAGATAATATGTAATAAAGTATTTGCATAATTATTTTTTTGGTATAAAAAGCTTCTGTATTTTTTTATCCTGTTGAGAATGAAATTATGAAGGGTGGTCAGATTTTATATTATTACTTAAAGCGGTATTCAACCTTTATAGGCATGCTATCTACCTTCAAAACCTGTAAACCCTCTACATAATTCCAAAATCTTCAAAATTCTCAAATCTTCCTTCTAGATGACTTTTAAGCACAAATGTCCTTTCAATCCATTGTCCTGAGATAGATCCATCTTTTTTATAATGTAATATTATGTTGGACTCTCGCTTCTTATTTTTTTGTTGACAAAATTACAAAAGTGGTAAGATTTTTCTATTATTATTCAAAGAAAATACGAACTTGTGGCAGGCCTAATTCACCCTTACTCTTGTAACTTTCAATGGACCCTTCGTCTCTACTTGTAAAACTTGTGAACTCACTCTCCAACCAAAAATAATAGATATTTTCAACTCTACATAATTCCATAATCTTTTAGAAATCTCTACCCTTGGGAATGAAAAATACAACACAAATTCACGGCTCAAAGCGATTCATACATATTTAAATAAGAAAATGGTGAAAATGCTGCTGATATTGGCACTTTAAAATGAAATTATAAAAGAATCTTGTGGACATTTCATTTTTGTCCTCCACTTTCAATACACCAATCATCAAGACCCTGAGAAAGAATGACATTTCCATCTCAGGAGACTATTTCTCCAATTGGGTCCGCTTATGATAAAAAATTAAAAACAGACAATTAGGCCGTCCGATTAGATATCGAACTTCATCATCACACTCATGGCATCATATGAACTCACAAAACACTTTGATCCACCATATCACACACTTCTTGACACCCGATCACCAATTCTCCAAAAAAGGACAAAATTGAAATTTTAAACTGCAACTCCATAATCCTATTGTCACCATTGAGTCCTTAGCACCCCAAAACCCTATGGTACACCTTTTCTCCAGATCTCTGCACTTTTCTATCAACCACTCCGACCAAAACCCTTGGTGGGGCCTAAATGGTCAATCCTAAATTTGACTTTTCACACCAATAAATAAACTCAACAACAGACTTCACCATTGTGCTTAATTAGAAGATCCAAAAATCCCAAAAAAGTCAAAAAAAACATTGTAATATTGCCTACCTTCCAACCCGACTCCAACTTTGACCAAGTTTCTACGGTAGGGACCCAAAGGTCTATACTAATATTTGACTTTTTCCCTGAAAAGTCAAATGGACAAACCGCCATTGAATTTAGAGGGTTCAAAAATCTTAGAAACCATTATAATATTGACTATGTGTGCCACTTTGACCTAATCTCTATTCCCAGAAATTTCCAGCCTTCACAAAAGAACAAAATATGCCCACATTAGCTGAGTGAGGTCACTGTGATGTCAAAATTCCAAAAAAAAAAAAATGCTTACAAATTATGAAAATGCAATTTATGGAAGAAAAAAAAAAAAGGCAAAAGAGGAAATTTACCAAGAGAAAGTTGAAAAAGCAAAAAAGGAAAATTTCTATTATTACTCAAAGTCGTATTCAACCTTTATTGCTGCTTCCAAACCTTAAAATCTGTAAATTTTTCCACTTGCATATGAGACTCGGAATGATGGTAAAGTCATCCATAGATTAGGAAGCATCAAACATTCCAAGGAAGGACATCTGATAACAGAAAGTCACTGTGAAAGAAATTTCAAAAAAAAATATCTTGAGTAAATTTTATCTTTCTTTTCTTTTTCCTTTAAAAAATAAATAAAAATTAAGCTCTGCTAGGAATAGGATACAAGATCACAAAGGAGGAAATTTCAATAGGTAAAATGTGCTCATCTAGTCCCAGACTCCACAAAAATTTAGGCAATATAATTATCAAAGAGATAAACATCTAATTAGGCAAATAGATTTGAAATTTCGGTGGAAGAATTATTTTTCTTAAATGTACGTAGTCATAGAAATATCACGCCCCTTCAATTGATAGCGATAAAAAAATTTAGAAAAGTGGGAGTTTGAGGACAGAGGAAAATCAAGGTGACTACTTGGGGACTTAGAATAATAGTATTGTACATTGACTTGAATACAAATGAAACATTTAATAGGAGTCCATTTTCAATTACCCAAGCACACCCTTAAAAAATAATACTATTATGGAAAAGAATAATATTAATCAAACAGGAAAACATTTCAAGCAATGTTGTAATTCTAAGTTTCTAACCCATAAACAATGCAGAAATTGTTGAAAGAAGAACTAGAAAACTTCATATAGTTATAGATGAATAGGCTTACAAGTCTATCTCTCAAAATAATTCATACTTGTCATGAGAAAAAAATTATTTAATTTCTTAAACCAACTATAAATGAATAGACAATCCTTAGTACTAATTAAGTCTTGAGCAGTAATATTTGAAAGTAGGAATATGAGAAGCGAGTATCAGTATCTCATCAACTTCGAATCCTTTGTCATCCCAAACATGTAATATACAAGTTCTTTACAGCCCTTCAACATTATCTCTAAATTCTCCGGACAGAGGGTGTGTTTGGTAGGGTTGATTTGGAGGGATAGGGAAAGAAAAGAAAAGAGAGGATAGTGTAAGTATGTGTTTGAGTAAGTTAAGTGAAGGGATAGCAAGGGATAAGGAGAGATAGGGAGGGATAGCTATCCCTCCCTATCTTTCATTTGCTTTCTCCTCAATTTTGAGAAAATAGGGAGAGATAGGGAAAGAAAGGATAATGATTTTAGTGGTATTTTGATAATACCAAAATTAGTCTCCACAAATCAATACACAGATTTATTATTCCATTCAAGTCCCATGATTATGAAAGGGTAAAAAAGTAATTTGACTATTATCTTTTCTTTTCTTTTCTCTCCTCTATCTTATCCAAACAAGAATAACTATCATTTCTTTTCTTTTCTCTCCTGTATATCCAAACACAAATAAAAATTATTACTATACTTTCTTTTCTTTTCTTTTCTTTTCTCTTCTCACTAAACTATTCTTTCTTTTCTTTTCTTTTCTCTCATAATTGATACTATCCAAACACACCCTAAGGTTTGGCGGCAACATCACAATAACATATGCTTCCTCTTTCCCAATGTATGTATATGAAATGCCCAAACCCAACAAAGTTCTTGCAGTGAAGGCTGACTTTCTTCAGAATTTCTTCCATAAATGTACACTCCAATTTTAACAATTCCAGTGCTTCCCACTTGTATATTAGGTCTAGTAAAGTCAACATGCATTTCAAGAAGCAAATACAAAAATGTAACATATCATAGGACATGGCTCGCGATTGCGGTGTAACAGATTCAAATAAATATTGGTATAAATTGGCCGAACATACAAAGTCATGAAAGTGTGTAACAATATCGGATTATTGAAAATGGGTTACGAACAAGGGCAAAAAAAAGCATATTAATATAAAAAAATTTAGCTCAACAAAAGAAAAAAAAAAATTATTACTAGTATTAGCCTACCTAAAAAACCCAAGTCAGCTAAATTTATGTTTAATATTAAACAATTTCATTAACAATTCTTAAATTCATTCTTACGAACTATACATTGCGTATCGATCAATACGACCGACGAACCATATCCATGCACAAATTTTTTTAATGACATATGACCGAAGTCCAAAATTTTCAAGGCAGGTAGCCTTGAAAAAAAAAAAAAAAAGAAAAAAAAATCCAATACAATTATATGTAAAAGCTGCAAACCGAAAGCAGTGTAAGCGAACCATACCGGTCAACGACACGCTTCGTTAATGATGAAACGACGTCGACTCCATAAAATTGGCTCTTCATCTGGACTTGTCAGAAAAATTATAAAAAAGATAAGAAAAAAATAAAATAAAATACTCCGTAGAGATGCATAGTTTAATAAACATAAGCTATTACGTTGATGTTAGAGAAAATAGGCCGAGTGTAACCAATTTTCGTTATCAAATACGACCCTACGTGGTCCGTCGCCAAGAGGCGGAGAGCGAATTCTAAAAAGTTTAAAACCTAAAAACCACAGAGAAATCTAGAGGAAAGAGGTTTATAGGGAGAGAGACGATTCAAAACGCAGGTGAATCTAGGGTTTGTACCAATTAAATCTTTAATGCCTATTTTTTCTTATAGTACATAGTGCAATTGTGAATACCTAAAAGAGAAATATGCAAATCACAAGTTTATTTGTTTTAAAATTCGGGCTCTTTTGATCGCGAATCATTGCATATGCGTTTTCTCATATATGTGTATATGTATTATACTTGCATATAGGTATGTGATTGAAATATGAATTGACATGCTCTATCATATTGTAGTGGGGACAGATCATATTGTAGTGGACAGAGAGGTGTTGAAGGTAGTTTTTTGATAATCATGTCTTGCATAATCTCAATGTAGTGGACTGAGGTGAAATTTTGTTTGGAAATGATGCAAGTTAAATTTGTTGTGCAGTAACTGAAATTTTAGGAGAACACTTGTTGCATGTGACTCTGGTATTACTTGTGGAGCGCATTAGGTAGCTCATGGAGATGTGTTAATATAATATTTTTTTACCTAATTTAATCGTTGATTATATGGATTGTCATAAAAATGGTGAATTTAGGGTTGCATTCTGTTGATTGAATGATGTAAATTGGGTTTCTGCATTATGTTCCTTGTGCTGTCAATACTTTCATCTTGATTTTCAGAACTTAGCTGCTGACAATTTTTTTTTAATTGAATTCATTTCGGCTTTTATATTGGGTTCTGCACTACAATTCTGGGATGCTTTGCTGATGCAGATGGTCGATAAAAGAGGATTTGTTGTTTTTTTTTATAAGTACTAAAAGAGGATTTGTTGTTTTTGAACATATGACCTTTGATTGTTGGTAAGGAGTAAAAGCGAAAGCCCTCTTTGTGCCTTCTCAGTGGTGCGTTGTGTCTCTATGATGACGTTTCATAATCTTAGTAGAACACCAATCAACAACCCCGAGAAAGGAATTGTATCACTATACTTACTGAATATTGATAATGCAGGTTAATTAACGAATACTGACCTCTTGTCATTGTGGGAGGTGGCTCGTCTTCACTTTATTACGACAATCAAACAAAATAACTGATTCAATTCAATGGAAGGAGAAGAAGAAGATAGAGTTCTGTTAAGCAGTTTGGGTGTCACATCTGCAAACCCTGATGATATCGAGCGGGATATATTAGCCAAGGTGTTTCTTCTCTCTCTCTCTTTTTTTAGAGTAGTTAATTATTGCATTTTTAATGGAATTTTGCATACTTGTTATATACGTATTAAAAGATGCTACATTTTCCTGGGATGAGACTCCATCCAAAATCATCTTGCAGTCAAATGTTTTCTAGATTGACTCCAGACCATTGTGGATAAGCTTTTTATACTTTCTTTTTCCAGCTATATCACTATTGACTGCACTTATCATTATTGGTTTTTATCTGCAATATTTGTAGCTAACAGGTTGCATTATAAAAAACACAGGTAAAAGTAGCATACTGATTCACCACGTATACAATGACATATTGATATGCAACATGCTAGAACAAGGTCCCAGTGATACATATTATAAAACTAATGAGACGATTTTGAAGGAAAAGGGTGCTCAAATGATGGAGAATTTCCATGTGCGAACCTAAAAGACTGGAATTCTTAATGCGCTGAGCATTTATGTAAATTTATTACTCTACTATATGAATGATGAAAATGTGTCAAAAGGATAGATGGAAATGTACTCTAGCTGTGTTTCTGCTAACGTAATCCTTCTAATTTGTTGGTCACTGAACTTCGTGAGATCAGACTCTATTCGTGATCTTTTGATTGTTTTGTTTTAGAATAGTCCATTTCAGTCTTTAGCTGCTTGCATTTACTATAAGCGTTTGATAGTTTATTTAAGTGTTACAAATTGATGTTAATCATCATCCAATGGCAGGCAAGAAACAATGCTGGGGATGGTAGTGAAGCTGGAGGGAGCTCGGAGGAGCAAGTTCTTGACAGATCTAAAAGCAATGAATCGTCATCTACCAGCCATGCTGGCCTCTATAATAAATTGAGAGCAGTAAAAATTGAAATAGATGCTGTTGCATCTAGTGTTGAACAGGTAAAGAACTTTGCAAGAAATGAAGACACTGTTCCCGATGGTAATGATGACAGAAAGCAGGGAGACACAGAGGATGAACAAATCATTGTCCAGCCTTCTTCCAGTACCCTTCAGGAGGCCCTAGCTGCTGAACGGCTAAGAAGTCTGAAGAAAACGAAGGTTAAACTTGAGAGAGAAATATCAATTTTATGTAAGGATGACCCGTCCAGTATCAAGCATGACTGCTTGATTCAGAATCTTGTTAAGGAAGAGATTAAACCCAAGAGAAAATTGAAAGAAGTTCAAAAATCAAGCAAGGATTTGAAAAAGCGAAAGAAAACTGTTTCATTTGACGAGGATGATGATTTTGATGCAGTGTTAAATGCAGCATCTGCAGGATTTGTTGAAACAGTGAGTCAAGCTTGTTTTTCTGTTCTACTTCCAATGAATTTGCTATATAAGATTCATGGTAGTGTAGAAGGAGTTACAGTTGTTAATTTATAATTTCTTTTTTATTTATAGCAAAATTAGTTATTATTATGATTTTTATGGATGTTAAAATTGTTGCAGTATAGAAAAGAAATTTCAGCTATAAGGGCTGACCATACGTTGTTCATATCTTAGGAAAGGGATGAGTTGGTTCGGAAAGGAATATTAACCCCCTTTCATAAGCTCAAGGGCTTTGAACGTCGTATTCAACAACCAGGGCTGTCTAGCAGGCACAATATACCCCAGGAAGAAGACAAGACTGATGTTCTTGCTTCCACCAGCATAGCCAGAGCTGTCCAGTCAATGTCAGAGGCTGTGCAAGCTCGCCCAACAACCAAGCTGCTCAATTCAGAATCGCTGCCAAAACTTGAAGCGCCCACTCGTCCTTTCCAAAGGCTAAAAGCACCCCTGAAGATCCCTCGGTCACTAGAGAGTGAGGTGGAGAAGAACAAAGATACAAAAAGGAAAACAAGAAGGCCATTGCCTGGCAAGAAATGGAGAAAATTAACTTCACTTGAGAAAGAACTTTTGGAAGAAACTGGTATGTGAGGCAGTTAGATGGCTTCCTTTTTTTAATACATTTATCAAAGTTCAGATTTTATCTGTTTTAGAAAATCAGGACAATTTATTTTATCTCTTGCAGAAGAGAAGAACAAGTTCTGTGTATTTGTATTATATTTGGTTTCTATTATTAGATGAGCTTTTGTCTGTTGTGTCCACAGATTGCAGATGTGAGGCAGTACAGTATGACGTCTACGAAGAAAATAATTCCCTTAGTGGTGGACTTTAGAATCTCATACGATAATCATACAGCTTTTTTCTTCTAAAACTTGGTTTTTGTCATTTTAATCCAAAATACATCTATGTCTTCATTGTGTGATGTGATCATCTGCAGTTCTAACATTTATCTCCTGAAACATTACCTTCTGAGCCCCACAGCTACATTTTCAGTTGAAGATGGTGTGATGTTGGAATTATAGCAAATATCTGTTAGTTGAAGTTTGAGAAAGTGAATAAAGAAGGCTGGTATCTGAATTTTATCTTATATGAGGTACCCTGCAGTTGTGTGTCTCAAGATGAAATATTTCCATCTTAGCATCACCAGTTTAGCCTTAGTTGAAGATGGTGTAATGTTTCAGTAAGTGTGTGTTAATTGAGGTCTCAGAAAATGTGCCAAAATGGTTAGTATTTCATTGTTGTGTTGTATTTCCCTGAGGGCCGTTGCTAGTTAAATGCTTGAACATCAGTGCTATTAGTGCGAGTTCGAGCCTCAGAGCAGCCACGTTGTGTATTAGCAAATGTATGTCGGCTTCGAGTCCTCCCTCCCCAGGACTCTGCTATAGTTGGGTAATGTCCCCTTGTTGTATGTGTATGCTATGTTGGACCTTATGGGATTAGTTTAGTTGACAAATGTTATGCTAAGGTACATCATAATTGAAAATCCTGTTGAAGTTCCTTTACATTACACAAATTTGTCTGCAGAATTATCTTAATCGCTTGACAGCCTTAGACTGAATTATAATTGTTTTTCTTTTTCTTTTTTTTTTATTATTTAGATTGAATTATAATGTTGATTCACCTCTCAATTTGAATAAAATAAATATCAGGCTATGTTAAGGACATTTTGTGCTTGTTTTTTTTTTTTCTTTTTTTTTCTTTTCAGTAAAATTTTCTCAATAACCCAGTAGACGTAGGCATTTACGTGATTGTAGCCCATGCATGCACTTCTTGAAACTTCTATTTGTAGCTGCAGTACCTGTGCTTTTCTTGAAACTGTTTGGTCATGGGTATATTATGTTTTGTTTATTTGATTTTCATGACAAATTTGTTAATGGAAGGTCATACTAAATGAAATATCAGAATAGCAAGAAAAAAATCTAATTTTGTGTGACTTTTAGTGCATTTGTAGTGCATGACCATTTATATTGTTGTCTTTCCTCTCAAAATTATTTTTTATCTTCTTAAATAGATGGCCTGGTAGTTAAAGTTTTTTTTTTTTTTTTTTTTTTTCCCTCTTTTTGCAGAAGATGCAAAAGATGACTTGGTCAGCTCCAGTTATGAAGAAGAAAACCAAGAAGTTGCTGGTGTTGATGATACTGAACCTCCTTTCATGACACTTGAAGGTGGGCTGAGAATCCCAGAAAACATTTTCAGCAAACTTTTTGACTATCAAAAGGTGGGGGTCCAGTGGTTATGGGAACTCCATTGTCAAAGAGCAGGTGGGATCATTGGAGATGAAATGGGTCTCGGTAAAACTATCCAGGTCTTATCTTTCCTTGGAGGATTGCATTTCAGTAAAATGTACAAACCTAGCATAATTATCTGCCCTGTCACTCTCTTGCGGCAATGGAAGAGAGAAGCGCAAAAATGGTACCCAGCCTTTCTTGTGGAGCTACTTCACGATTCTGCAAACAATCCAGTTAGTAGAAAGAAGCGTGCCAAATCTTATGACAGTGACTATGAAAGTGAAGAACTGCTTGACAGTGATAGTGAAGGAAATTTATCTTCTAGAAACACCAAAAAATGGGATACTTTAATAAATCGTGTTTTGAGGTCAGAGTCTGGGTTGCTAATTACTACTTACGAGCAACTACGGTTGCTCGGGGAAAAGCTGGTTAACATTGAGTGGGGTTATGCAGTACTGGATGAGGGACATCGAATTCGAAATCCAAATGCAGAAGTTACTTTAGTCTGCAAACAACTACAGACAGTTCACCGCATAATAATGACAGGTGCACCAATTCAGAACAAGCTGACTGAACTATGGTCTTTGTTTGATTTCGTTTTCCCCGGAAAGTTGGGTGTCTTGCCAATATTTGAGGCTGAATTTGCAGTTCCCATATCTGTTGGTGGTTATGCTAATGCTTCGCCATTGCAAGTATCGACTGCTTACAGGTACAAATTGATACACTTTTGAAATTTTAAGTGGATTTTATATTTATATTTATATTATTTCATCGCAACTTAAAGTGAGTATTCAAAATTTAATGCTTGATCTTGTAAATAAATTGATAATTCTTTCAGAATTTGTATTATAGTATATCATATGTATGGCTTGGAGGAGAATAACTTCCATATCTTTCAAGATCTACCTACTAGGCTCTACGTTTGGTAAAAAGACCGAAAATGATTTTTGCACTTCTAAGAAAAAAACTGATTCTTGACTTCCTTTTTTAACACTCATATCACATTAATGGATCCCATGATCCTGAACCGATCTTACCCCTTAGGATAGGCATCCCCTAACCAAGTCAAATCAGAAATAAAGAACTTTTCTTGGGGAGGTTTTCATAGCATTTGACCAATCTACCGCGTGGCGCGTGCTGGAAGATCTTGAGTGGTTGAACAAATCACACCAACCATGTTTTCTAACCAAGAAAAAGATTATGATCCAACTGATCTATGAGCTTTCCTTCCTTAATTTGAGTGTGGATGTCAGTTACTTCTTCCAATAGGGCTTTGCTTGTGAGTTTTGGTTGCATCACCATTATTTCCCTGCTTTTAGATTTGCCAATTGTTCTAATGCTTTATAATTATCTATTACCAAATTTGATGTTGTGCAGGTGTGCAGTGGTTCTACGTGACTTGATAATGCCTTACCTCCTTCGGCGAATGAAGGCTGATGTGAATGCCCAACTTCCGAAGAAGACTGAACATGTTCTCTTTTGCAGCCTTACTGAAGAGCAGCGATCTGTCTACCGAGCATTTCTTGCTAGCTCTGAGGTGGAACAGATCTTTGATGGGAACAGAAATTCTCTTTATGGAATTGATGTGATGCGTAAAATTTGTAACCACCCTGATTTACTCGAGAGAGAGCATTCCTGCCAAAATCCGGACTATGGCAATCCTGAACGCAGTGGAAAAATGAAAGTTGTTTCTCAAGTGCTTAAGGTGTGGAAGGAACAAGGTCACCGCGTTCTTCTTTTTGCACAAACTCAACAAATGCTAGATATTCTTGAGAATTTTCTAATGGGAGGTGGCTACAATTATAGGAGAATGGATGGTCTCACTCCTATAAAACAGAGAATGACCTTAATGGATGAATTTAACAACTCAGATGATGTATTCGTATTCATTTTGACAACCAGGGTTGGCGGTTTGGGAACGAATCTAACTGGCGCAAACAGGGTGATCATCTTTGACCCTGACTGGAACCCTTCAACTGACATGCAGGTTTGCTTGTGATTAATTTTTCATTTAGTTACGTATTTCCTTGCGAAAAATATAATTGTTATTCTATAGACTCATACATTGTATTTTTGTCGATATATATATAGATATTTGCCTTTTTACGGTTTCTTTTCTGCATAGCAAAATCTGACATACCCATAGCAAAATCTGTTTGAATTCCATCTTCAATTTAGATCTGGACAATTGATCCTATAAGTGAACTGTGAATCTAGCTTGACTAAAAATTCACGCATTCGCATACTGAGGGCAACTGTTACTTATGACAGGCCAGGGAGCGTGCTTGGCGTATTGGACAGACAAAGGATGTAACAGTTTATAGATTGATCACTCGTGGAACCATAGAAGAGAAGGTGTATCACCGACAGATTTACAAACATTTTCTCACTAATAAAATATTGAAGAATCCACAACAAAGAAGGTTCTTCAAAGCCCGAGATATGAAGGATCTCTTCACTTTGAATGATGATGGAGAGGGTGGTGCTACTGAAACATCCAATATTTTCAGTCAGATTACTGACGATGTAAATGTTGTTGGAGTGCATAAAGATGACCAGGATAAGGGGAAATCTCTCAAAGTGGCATTACCAAATGATGATGATATCGCTGTCGACAAAGGAAACAACTCAGGGATTGGACCATCCAAAAAGAAGGGGAAAGAAAAGGCTGATCAAAGTGATAATGAAGTCGATCAAGAAACTAACATTTTGCGGAATCTTTTTGATGCTCATGGAATTCATGTGAGTTATCTTATTTCTCTATTTACAATTGCCTCTAATGATTATAGCTTTTGCAATTGTTTTTGAGTTCACATATTTTCCCGGTTTCTGGAGCATTTTTGCAAGAAGTATAGGTCTCATCAAACCTGTTGTCTCGTCAAACCTGTCGTTGTAGTGTTTGTTCTGGAATTTTTTTTGCAGTCAGAGAATTAGAAACAAGTTGATAACTTCTTCGGCTTTCATTGAAAAAAAAAATCGTTCTTCACTACTTCCAAACTGTTAGGTGCTGTTTGTGAGTTTTGGGTAGTAGCCAACTAAATGTTGGTTTCAGTTATGGCAATAAAAATGTGTTCTTGAAAGCCCTCCACCAAAAGATTCAAAACAACAAAACTTCATCAGATAATCCTCGGCTGCCGGATTTATCTGTCTCACAAAAAGCCCATTTGTCAAGCTTTTCTTTTGCGTGCGTGGTTCTTGGCATTTTCCACAAAATGCAACATCTAACATCAATTATCATGGTCCTGCTAATGTTCTATTGATATGCGACCTTAAGGTGCCATATATGTAATTTTAAATAGTTCCTCCATCCATGTTGATCATTTTCATCCTTATTATTCAGAGTGCCATGAACCATGATGCAATTATGAATGCCCATGATGAAGAAAAGATTAGGCTTGAGGAGCAAGCATCCCAAGTTGCACAGAGAGCAGCAGAAGCATTACGCCAGTCACGAATGCTTAGAAGCCAAGAAAGTATATCTGTTCCAACCTGGACTGGGAAATCGGGAGCTGCTGGTGCACCATCATCTGTTCGTCTGAAATTCGGCTCAACCATAAACTCCCAGTTGATCAATAATTCAAAACCTTTGGAAGAATCATCCAGCAATGGAGCTAGCAGGCCAAATGGCTTTGCAGCCGGGGCATCTGCTGGCAAAGTATTATCCTCAGCTGAACTGCTGGCTAGGATTCGAGGAAACCAGGAGAGAGCAGTTGGTGATGGGCTTGAACATCAGTTTGGCATAGCTTCAAGTTCTGCAAGCCGAGGAAGAGCTGTGGACAATGAGCCTTCTAGGTCGTCTCTCAACTTATCTGGGGTGCAGCCAGAATTGTTGATTCGCCAGATCTGTACGTTTCTACAACTAAGAGGTGGAAGTACCAGTTCAGCCAGCATAGTGCAGCACTTCAAGGACAGGATACCTTCAAAGGACCTTCCTTTATTCAAGAATCTTTTGAAGGAAATAGCCACTTTGGAGAAAGATCCAAATGGGTCTAAATGGGTAATAAAACCAGAGTATCAGCAACAGTAATTTTTTCAATGTGGCCTTTGAAAGCATTGATTGCTTGCTTCTTCTTTTCAGCATATGATGGAACTATTCTGGAGCTGCCGTAGTGTTCTTACTTCTTGGTCTCTCAAAAAAATTAAATAGGTTACGCTTTAAAATTACATCTTCTATCTTGGGCACATGAAGTCTCGGTGATAGTGTGTGCCTCATTTTGTACAAGACTACACGACAGATGATATCTTTTTACCGTACAGATTAGTTTTCTTGTACATTTTTTGCTCATCCAAGTTTTGCGGCATTGTAAAAAACTGACAATGCGGTATTTTTTTCCCCTTGCATATGAGTTAAACTCTGCAATTTATTGACTGTAGACTGATTTTATGCCATAAAATCTTAGAAAGTTGTTGATCGGCTATTTTTTGGTAAGGGTATTTTTATTTTTTTACCCCTCTGCTGTTGGTTCATACAGCTTTCGAACAAGTACAACTGCAGCTGAAAGTTACTTTTTTTTATTCTTTATTCTTTTTCTTTCTTTTTTTTGTTGTTGGAGAAAATGACCATTAAGATGAGCCAACTTAGCTGATACAAGCTGCACATAAGAATGTGACAATATGCATCAGCCTTGCAAAAACCAGAAAGGAAAAGCAGCATGCATTTGGCATCATCCAACCAAAAACCAGAAAGATTTTTTATTTTTATTTTTATTTTTTTTATTAAACAATAATAAAAATTAGAAATTCAAAAAGAAGCATATCAACATTTTCCAAGAAACATTATTTTTTCAGAAATGGTATTAGATACCTCAAGTTTCTTTGATTCTCATTGATTTCCCTTTTTGTCTATTCAACATAACAACAAATAAATATCTCAATCATATCACACTCCCCACAATCAAAATGCTGCCCACCCAGCTGCATTCGACTTGGTTGATCCTGATCCAGTTGTGGAAGGAAGATTTCTCTGCAGATAAACAACAACCGTAACTGAACTAAACATATTCACTTACAAATGCAAGAACTTTTAATATAGATCAGGATTCAGGAAATTAGGGTTCTAACTAGCGGCAGCAGGGCATGTCATTGCGGTACTAATGTCACAGGTCAACAGCCTATGACATTCTTATAGGGTTCTAACTAGCAGCAGCAGTAAAACAACATACTATTAAATACCGAAAGTTGCTCTATTCTACTATCTAGTCCCATATTGAGGTTTACTACCTAAATACACAGGAACACAAAGAACACAATCTCCAAAATCAGAGGAAAAAACAACAAAAAAAAAAGTAGAAGTAAATAAATATAGAAAAGGGAGACCACCTGAAGTTGCCTTTAAACAGCATAGGAACTTAAGTTTTAACTTTCAAAACATGCAAAATAACCCGCCTAAACAAGAACAGAACTAAGAAGAGAAAATAAAGGAATACCTCAAGTTGAGAAAGCTCGGAGAAAGGATCCGTAGAGTGCCTCACACTTTCCTTAGGTCCCTTGAGAGCAACACCATGGTTGGCAGAAGAAATCCGAGCAGCAGCAGGATCATTGGGTGGAGGTGGGAGAGGAGTCCTAATTTTCCCAGCTCCAGTAGGTGGAGGTGCAAGACCCAGTGCTTTTGGCTTTCCAGTTCCAGAAAGCCCCCCCGACAACCCAGCAGCTGAAAGCATGCCAGTTCCACCAGATGGTTTGTTCTTCACATTTATCCGGATGGTTTCCCCTTCCTATTGCCAAATAATTACAAAGTCATTTCCATCAAGAAGGAGAACAAAGGCAACAGTCTAATCACATATAATATGACTGAAAACCAGAGTGAACAAGCTTTTATTTGAGAACAGAGAAAAATAAACCAAACAATGTGTGAAGGGTATTATCCCACTCGCGTCCATGAATGTAAAAAATAAGACATTAATACTTAATATAACTAACATATATGGTGCACCATTTGTGAACTTACAAAGTAAGCAGGTTGCATATAATTTTTCATAAGTCATCCATGCCCCCAACTGGGAATTGAACCTTGCCCCTATCACCGGCAAGTGACACCCCACAAAGTAGAAATCCAGTTGTGTAACTCCACAAACTTTATTTATTTATTTATAAGTGGCGTAACTTCTTTTCTTTTTTTTTTATAAGTGGGGTGACTTCACAAACATTTCTTGTCATCTACTGTATTTAGTGAAGCTCCATTCAAACCCCAAATGATTTGGACAACAAACAGAGAGGAAATTAGAGATTCACTTCTCCAAAAGGGGCAACTTTTGTAAATTTTCCATTTCATTATATGATTGATTAATAATTCCTTTAAGAGGCTAACTACCATAAATTGTTATTCACAAGCGTCTAGAATCTATTTGGGTCATAATTCTAGGCCTCATATTATGTAGAATGAAACCAGAGTGTATCAAGCACTTCATTATAATGTTATTGTCCTTATTAGCTGAGAAAATCAAGAAAACATATTTTCTTTTCTTTTCTTTTTTCCCTGAATAAGGGAACTTGTATCCAATTGAACACAAATCATCATTGTAATTTGCCAATCTCACTTTTAATTTACACTATTTTGCAGTCGAACTGCTATCACTTTCAAGTCAAATGACCATTAATTGACATTAAAAATCTCATCTTATCATACCAATGACAAGTATGCAACGACTTAATCCGAAAGAGCAACTTTTTTTCTTAAATGCAGAATTCCAAATGATATTCTGGAAATTTTCAATTATGCACCCCAAAGTCAATTCCAATTACAATCTCGAACTCGTTTGACAAATATAGATAAGTACCCAAAGCAACATCAACATAACATACATAACTCCATGCATTTGATCCTAAATTAGTCTTTTACCACTTAGAATATAGACATTGTGTGTATCAATCAATAACACATGCTATAAAATTTGTTAAAATATACACATTGTTACCTTCAATCTGTGATTCACCGCCGGATGAATATCGATGTGACTATCGTCGCTTGCTTCGCCGGCTTCCTTCTCGTGCTCTCTCTTCACATACTTCTCGTGATCCGACAACGCCACATTGAAATCAAACGCCTCATTCCGCTCTGCAAACCCTAATCCAATAAACGCGTGCTTGCCCGTCCCGTCCTCGATCTTCAACACGAAGTACCGAGACGAGTCGAGCGCCGGCTCCACCGAGTTGTCTCTCTGACCGGGGTGTACGAAGCACGCCGCAAAGAGCTCGGCGGAGTTCGGATCCTCCAACCGGATCTCGCAACGGTCCTTGCACGACACGACCCGGAGGCGACCCGACCAAATCCTGTCCGATTGAAGCCACTCGCCGCATTTGTACCCACCGCTCGTGGATCGAGGTGGGATTTTGAATACGGAGACTTCACGAACCACCAATAATGTGTGCTCGAACGATTCCTCTTCCTCGAACGACATCGTTATCTATCGGCAATGTGGGTTGTGTGGTTTGCGAATTGGCTGAATTAGAGGAAAGATTTGGGGTTTGTTGATTTCAAAATTAGGGTTTGTTTGTTTCGCAGAGATGGAGTGATTTGAGAGCGAAGCAAGCCCTGATTTTGGGGCTTGCAGAGAGGTAGAGGAGGTTGGGAAATTAAATTGAATTAGGCGTTGAGAGTGACGAGGAGGATGTGGACCTGGGATTGAAGAAGATTATGGTGGGGTGGGAGAGAGGGAGGTATCAATGAGTTGCGTTGCAGAGACGTACGTGTTGGAAGCGTGTTACTGTGTGGGCATTTGGCAAAGACAGAGAGAGTCGCAGGTTCATTGACAATTGGATCGGTTTGGAGTGGATTTGGATTGGGTCAGGGGGGCGAGTTGGGCTGTGATAGGTGGATGGATCTGAAACAAATATTATTAACAGGTCACAAATACGTTGCGTAATTGCAACGGATTTTACCCAAGACATGATAGTTTCCTACGTTCTATCTACTGTAATTTGATGCCGAGCCCCAAAACAAGTACTGATCGTACTAAACAAATGAAGAGGGTGTATATATAGACTAATTATGAGCCATAATTTTTTCGTTACGCTGAGGTGGACTTATTAGTATGATTTGACTACATTAATCTTAGTATATTTTTTATATTATGTATTTGAAATTAAAAAAAATATATACAATATAAGTTTTAACTGAACTTTTTTTAATTTTAAATTCAAAGTGTCGTGTTCTTAAACATGACATAGCATAATAGATTTTGTATTAATTGAATTCATCTTGAAAAATAAATATTTGATTTTTTTTTTAAACGGTATAAAAATAATATGTGGTCTAATGATGATACAATGACAGATTAGTTAACAATAGATTGCTCTTAATAAATAAGAAGTCAAATATTGTTGGTTATTTATTTATAGCATGTTGTATTAACATTGGCATAATGATATAGAAGAAGATATAATAACTACTTTGGAAATCAAAGAAGATAAACATATATTTTCCTCGGTACAGTACTACATTTCTTAACCAACCTTTGGCTCAACTACCTTTGCTGATTAGTTAATTAATGGATGAATGTAATGATCTGCATATCAATTTTACCTTTAACATTATTACACAATATGAAGTTTATTCTAAACTAGGTTTTTTTTTTTTTTTTAAAGTTAAATTTAACATTGAAATTGAAGAAAAGATACAGCCTAAAAGTTAGCCCTATGCTAACTCATTTAAGCTATACAAACACAGCCCAGAGGGCCCAATGGGAAGAATCAACAATGTATACATACAGAGCAGCCCAACAATAGTGATGTGTGAAATTAATCAACACAACAATCCGGTGATCAGGGAGCTAATATCCAGCAGTGGTGAAGAGATTCAGCAATTCCAGTCTGGTGGTTTTGCAGGTGGACGAATCACTGCTTCAGGTATATTCCATTCCAAAGCAATTCTGGTGGTGTGAAGTGAATCAGTGATTGTAGAGGAAAATAACTTTGCTCGAACTATCTTCAAGAATTGGTGAAGGAGTGAATTTGCACTGAGTGTTCTCTTTTTGAAGATTCAGTTGTTCCTCTCAGTCCAAATATGATAGACGAGCTGCTAGTCCCAACTTGGATATTGCAGTGCTATTGATAGCTGAATTCCCCCTCCAATGATGAGATGCCCAAACAATAAATTCTGCCCAAGAGGATGGTTGAATGTAGAATCCACATCTTGCTTGTAAAAAGCCCCACAAGGGTTTGACAAATGTACAAGAAACGAATAGATGATCATGTGTTTCATCTTCAGTGTTGCAAAGAATACACAATGTTGAGTTGATGTGTGTTGTACACCTTCCGTTGAGTGTTGGTAGTTTGTGTTGTATGGCAACCTAAAGTGTGAAAGACTGTTTTGGAATGGAAGTTTGGACCAGACCAGGTGAGGCCAAAGAAGGGTAGGGTGTTGCTAGTTAAAGTTTTTCATTGTCTTTGAGATAGAGAACTGAGTGGAGTTAGATGGGATCCAAAAGAATTTATCTTTGTTATTGGGCTTTGGGTTAGATAATGAGTCAATGTTTTGTAGTTGTGGTAGGAGGTTAAAGATGGCTGTTGGAAAAGACCAGTGTTGGAGGTGATGAATGAGTTGCATTTTGTCATGTTTCCAAACTCCATTCCAGCAATTTGTTGTGGTTGAACAAAGTGGTGAAGTGGTCCAAGAGAACTCCAATTGTCGAACCAAAAATTGGCTGAGGTTCCATCATCAATTTCTAACTTGACAAGGGGAGAAATTGTTTCTCTGAGGCCAATAAGCCTTCTCCAACTCCATGAGCACTGACCTGGAACTTTGACATCCCAAATACTTCTACTTTTGAGAAGATAGGTGTGAATCCATTTGACCCATAGCATGTCCTTTGAGCTATAAATGTGCCAAAAATGTTTCATAATAGCACTCTCATTACATGTTTGCAGATTTGGTAGACCAAGACCCCCAACCCTTTTAAGAAGGCAGCGTGTGTTCCGAGCAACTTTGGCACATGTCTTTTTCAATGTTAGACCAGACCACAAGAAAGCACCAAAGATACTCTCAAGTTCATGTATAATGCTCATTGGTAAGATGAATTTAGAGCTCTAATACATCTGAGTTGAGAAAATAACAGCTCTAATAAGCTGTAGTCTACCTGCAAATGAGAGATTTTTGCTTGTCCAATGTGCAATTCTAGATGTTACTTTATCAATTAAGGTTCTGCAATCATTAGCTTTGAGTATAGTAGTAACCAATAGTACTCCCAGATACCTCATAGGAAGATTTCCTTTTTCAAATCCAAGAAAATCAAAGATGGCAGACACCATTTGAGGGGTTAGACCAGATATGAAAACATGACTTTTGCTGTGGTTGATTTGTAGACCAGATAAAGTGTGGAATTTTTCAATGGCAGTTAACAATGTGTGCAGAGTTGGAATGCTACCATGTGAGAATCATGTGATACCCCTCGATTCTACAGCCACGGGTGATCAAGTCCGAGCACAGATTCGAGAGATATCAAACAATTAATATATAATTAAGCACATAATACAAACCGAATTAATAAGAAATAAATAATAAAGCAAAAAAGAATTCTAATTAAAAATCCTCAAAATAATAATGTTAAAATCCATTAATCCATAACCTCCAAAGTAACTCCATTAATTAACAACTCGGAAATCCCTCAAGTGGATCCTTGATAAAATCCTAAACTGGAAAGGAAATAAGCAAAATCAAAATCCCAAGCTAAATAAAGAAGTAGTCCTACATAGTCGGAGGAATGAATGTATGTATCTGCTCTGCACGACCAAACTCTAACCCTGGAACTGATGAGCACCTGAAAAATAAGAGAGTGGGTCAAGCCCACATGCAAGTCCTATTCTACTACGATCCATATAAAAACCCAATACGCAGATACATCCTAAATAGCTCAACAATATCTAGAGTAGTTCATATATGTATAAGTACACACTATAGGATGCTCGTTAGTCCAATAGGTCTGTCTCAGCCTGAGTAGAGATACCATGCAAATCGCACATAATGTGGTCATATGTACCTAGACCTACCAAGGAACAACACTTATGTCCAGTTATCCATCCTAGGTGATATACGCACCCTAACCATGGTCCTGAGACTCAAGCTCATATCATGGCACCATAATGATATATATATAAAGTCCGTATACTCCTAATATAAAATATCATCCATCTGGTATAGTGGTCTGATATATGTATAACAATCTATCCAGAAACTAAAATAGGTCATTCAATTATTTTATTGATATGACACAAATATGAGTAGGACTTACCCTTTATAGTTAATCCAAACTTCAATCCAGATTAGGTAGGACTTAATGTTTGAATTAATCCTTACCTAGTATGCCATTGTCCCATACCGGTGCATACAATCCTCCGGCCAACATAGTTGACAAACAGTAATAAACACCCATCAACCAAACTCCAAAATAAGCATAAGTACAGTTTAACATGTGTATGACCAAATTATGCATCCAATATAAGATTTAGAAATCCTATTCCAGTCCTTTAAATTGATAAGTAAGGCTAAGAAATTAACTCATCCAAACAATACCATAACTGATGCAATATACAATAGATTTAAACATCAGTTAATCCCATCTAAGCATACATATTTTTTTTTTTAGATAAACAACTATATGCTTATAACACAGCTGAGACATGATTAACAATTTTAGATCATGCAGAGAAACCAAGTTGCTAAAACAGTAGGCAATATAAGTTAATTATCCAACCTTACACATACAGGTTCATTGTTTAACCTTATGTTATTTCAGTCTTCTATATCTTAATATAAACATGTTTTCCAATAGTTTTTACATCTCTGTAACAATTATATACCTCATCCATAGCCACTGAAACAACTTAGAAAACTCCCTACAGGCCAAACCGAACTCAGAACCACGAAAAACCAAAAAATAGAAGAAGGAGCCGCCTCCCCCAAACAAAAGAGCCGTCTCTTCCCTTGGTGGAGCCGGCTCCACCCTTGTGGTGAGCCGGCTCTCCGGTGATGCCTAACGTGTTCATCTTCTTCGCCTCCGGCGAAGTTCAAAGCCTCTGTAATGTTTTTATTACTTGTTCTATGGTTCAATCTCAGTCCCATATTAATCCTAAACCATTAATATACAACCATGATACGAATTGAACACAACTTTTGAAAACAACGGTAGCAGAAATTTAATTAGAAAGTTTAAGCAATTCATAACAGATTAATTCAGTGAAATTAAATACTGTTTAAACATACATAAAAAATGTGTTTTAACATTAGTTTAATTCCTAGAGCCTACCTAGGCATGCACAGATCACAAGTTTAAGGGAAAGAGTAGAACAGAGACTTGCCTTCAGTTTCAGTTTTGAAACTCTAAACCACCATCTCTGTAATTTCTGACCACTTCCCAGTCAACCGTTTTACTCCTCTGTTGCTCTTGGTTCAACCCAAAAGCACTTCGTCCCGTCCTCCTTGAACCTCTCCGTCTATCTCTCAAAATCCCTCTCTGCCTCTCAATATCCTCTATTCGTGGTTTTAGTTGTAAATCCTAGACAAAACCCATATAATAATATATATATGTACAAATGTCTCTAAACCCTGGTCCATTTAGAATTAAAGATTGAAAACCCTAATTACATTCTAGTCGACCTCCACGTGAATCCTAAAAGAAAACTAAAACCTAATTTAAATATTAACTAAACCGCAATGTCACGTATATAAGTTACTAACTAATTACAATTAATTTAATTATAGAAAAACCAACATAAAATTCAACTAATTTAATCTCATTAAAACAGGTGAATTCTAAATAGAAAATACAACTAAACAA